GTTGCATAGGTTATAGAGTTTTGTAAGCTCAAAAAAACAGTGGTGACAATCTCGTTCCAAAATTTCCGTAAATAATTGAGATATTGACTTTTAAAAACATGTGATGAAAAACTTCACCCGAATGTTAAAAGGAAGATGTTAATAAACTAATTTTAAACAAACAGCTCTAGAGAAAGTTGTGAATAGATTATATTTAAAATTTTGTAGCGATAAGTGTGTTAAGAACGGAGATATTACATTTTGAAAATGTATTGAAAATCCAATGCGGTTTTCCAGGTGAATGCGCACATGAATATTTTTCATTCTTATGAATGTCACAGGTCTAGTTAGAACAATTATTAGAATAATCTTTCATGTCATTATGTTTCAAATTTCCTCAAAAATGGTAGGAGGCGTTTTCGATAACAAGTGTGTGGATTCCCTTGGAAAAAAATTCTTTAGGTTGCCAGTCTAACCAGTTGTTTATGGCAGACATCACTTCGTCATCGGCACCATATTTATTGGCACGAAGATATTTTTTTTTTATTTTGGGTACAAATAGAAGTCTAGGGACCAACAGTTCGAATCCTGCGGCATAAATAGCAGTCATTGCAACATGACTTTTCTTACACGGAGCGTCGTTCTGATGGAACACAGTTCCCTTATTCAACTTTCCTTGCCTTTTTTCCTTAATACATTCGAGCTGTTTTGAAATTCAATTGACATAACAGTAGCCTGTTATTTTTTGTGTGTCCACGTTCTAAATAAGCAACCATCAGGATTCCTCCCGCATCCCAAAAAATTGTGACCATAACTTTACCAGTAGATGGCAAAACCCGAAACTTGCGAGGTGGAGGAGAACCTCTATGATACCACTTCATACTTCGTTTTTTAATTCCGGTTCGAAGTGGCGGTGTACCCACGTGTCATCAACGGTGATAAATCTATCTGCATCGGCTTTAAACTTTGCCAAATTAACTTCAGAATGAACTGCTCGAAACCGTTTCTGGTCTTTCTCGGGACCGAACACGCAGACAGCTTTATAAGCCACAAGATATTTGTTAATATATTTTCCATAGAACCATAGGATATTCCCGTAATTTTAGCTATCAGCCATCACCATGTCATGTCCAGTATCAACATTGTCTTTAGTAGAGACAATCACTGGAAGTCTAGCACCTTTTGCATGTTCACACGTCTGTCTACTCAGTTTCAACCCTCGAGAAATACTTTTTACCATTTGATAAACATGAGCATTCTGTCTCAATACAGCCACCATATTTTTGTGAATCTCCATTGGCGACAATCCATTCTTTCGCAGGTATTTAATAATAGCGCTTACTTCAGATTTTTCCATTTTTGCAAAAACGACTGATTATTTGCAATTGGCTTTTAAAATGAAACAAGCAAGAAAACTGAAACTGCATCAGCTTAATGACAGAAGATCAACCTTTAAACGTATCAAATTACATCAACCTTATTCAAAGCGTTCTACGTTAGGGACCGTAAATACTGATCCTTCCTCGTAGATACTATTTTCAACTATGAGCAAGAACATTTAGATTTTACTCAAAGTGCTTTATATAATAATAATATATTATTTAGTGGGCCATAAAAAGTATACATGTTCTAAAATAATACATAATAAGTGGTTTAAACTATAACGTGAAAGTACGTTTAAGTCTATATTTACCGGTTCATCAAAATAATTTGGTTGCAAATTTAAAAAAGTAAACAGAAGTATCATTCGTAATAATTTAAAGGCAAAAAATTCACTGCCAGACAAAAAAACCCGGACACTTGAATATTTGTAACCTTACGCTAAAGTTTAGTGTTATAACTATTCTTACTTTTCTTTTGTTTCCACTTGTTTTAGGATAAACTTATGGTTTATGTTAATGAATACATTAATGTTTTGTTTTTTGGAATATTTTTTACAAAATTTCGACCAATTGCAGGTAATCAAAAAAAAATCAATTGTCCGATTTTTTTTGTCTGACGGTTTATATACGTATATAAGGAAGGTAGTTTTTTGAGGACAGTATTTGTCGTTGTTGAAAATATCATGACACTTGGGTAATACAAAATGGATCTTAGGTTCACCAGTGCGTTTTGAAAACCATCTCCAAAGGCATTCCGTCAAAATTTAAAGAGGAGGGAAAGCGATATGTTATCTTAAATGCAGGCACAAAAGGTGATTTCTTATCAAACTCTGATTTCATCTTACATTGTCAAAAGAATAAAAGAGATAATAATAAAATTATGAATGGAGATATTTTTAAAAGATGAATAACACAAAATCTAGTACCTGCTTTAAAAAGAAATATGAAAATGCATCGCACTTAACCACCGACGAATTCTCTACCAAATGGATTTTTTTCTTTGTAATATGTAGTTAAAAATCCAGATCTTATATCCTTGAGTTTGATCAGAATTTAGCCTATAAAAATACAAGTTTCTGGAAACGAATTTACCACTGTTTAGATTCTTCTCCGACACCAAAGCGTTTTCGCAAAAATTTACTCCATTTAAACTGTTGTTGAGCAAAAATTCTATTGTAATTTGCTGTATTCTTCCTGTCCCCGGTTTGTTATCTAAATACATAGTATGGCTTTAAAATGTAAATTATTGGAAAAAAATCTTCAAAATATCATGACTTACTTAACAAGCCTACATACTTCGGTCGTTATCTATTTGCACTATTTCCCTAGCTTTGCTGTGCTGAGATTGAATTTCTTTTAGATAGGATATTGAGAACAGGAGTAAATTTTTAATACAAAATTTTTCACTTTTAATCCTGCAGTTACCCTGAGGACTCATTTTAAATCTACGTATACCACCTGGGTTATAGAACACCAGCAGTTTAAAGCTGATTTTATGTACATTTCCCGTTAATATACGCATTTGAAAATTCGATGAAAGCAAAAGGTATTCTACGTTTGACGTTTTACTATGAATTTTTAACGTATGAAGGCTCGAAATAGTTAGAATTTAAGTTTACAAGTATCAATTGTTTTTTTTTTTTCAATATCCTCGGTATTTTCGACTATTGGTCCCGCGTTTATGATCTACTCTTGATATTTTATTTGGTATAAAATTGTGTGTAACTGAAAATAACACACTCAGTTATTACGTATCTAAAACAAAAAACATTTATATGCTCACAAAGCTCCATTGGAACAGATATACAGAATGGATTTAAAAGTTATCCTTCAACGCACTATTTGGTAAGCAACCGTATCATGTGGATTTTCACTGTGTCACAAATGTATGTTCTGAGAATTTAAAGCTGAACCCATGGAAGTGAAACCGGTCCATTAAGAAAAATAATTTATTCACAAAATCAATATTTTCCAAGGAATTCATTAAACCATTAATATGCAACTCTTTTCGGAAACGATTCTTGGTATAGATCTAATCGATTCATCATGAACTAAATTCTTAACGTTATCAATCGCATATTCAGTTCAACGAATTAAGTCTATAATTTACAGAACCTGTATCTTTAAAAAGTTTTACTTTACAGAAAATTTCCTATTATGCAAACACACATTTGGATAGCTTTGTTGAAATTCTTGCCTACACACATTAATGGAATACGAGTATTCCTAATTTCCGTTTGCTAATAATTGTTGGGCGCTGGGAAAATACGCTTTCACAGTAATTGTTCTTGAGTGAATATTACACGTGTAGGATATGAATAACTGAATTAAAACTGTGAACGTATGTCGATGTAGGTATATCAAAATTTGGTAGCATTAAAAATGAATAATTAAATAACCTTTCTTCTGCATTATTTCATCAAATGCTCATAATATGAGAATAATATATATATACTTTATTGTCCAACAGGATTAATTTCTCAATTAGGGGACAACAATAACTAATTGTACACTACAATAATAAATATATGTACATGTAAACTCATGAACGGTCTGGAGTTATATATTATTTAGCAACCGGTAATATTTACTTTTTTTGATACAAAAAGTATTCTGATCTAATATTTGCTTGAAAGTTCTGCTTTTTAAGTGAGTTGTTATCCAAAACCTTCCCTGGATAAAACCAACCGGTCGATGTAGAGATGAAGAAGTTTCCGCAGCTTTTTTCCTTCTTTTTTTAGTTCTGATTCACTTTCATAGATCAGTGGATACTCGATTTGAGTCAATTTCAGTACCTACATTTTTCATAGAGATCAAATTATTCCAGTTTTGTGAAATAATATAAATTTGTAGTGTCTACATCCCGCTTGTTTTATGCGGGATCAAACAACTTGGAAAGCGAGAGAAACATGAAACTTTGTTACTTTAATTATATTTGGACCTTCGTTCTTTGTGCATCGATCAAATAAAAGAGATTTCCCTTAAACAGAAACGAATTTTCTTCCCCAGGCCACAGCTAAACATGTTTAATAATCACAGTTCGCCTACTGCCGAGGAAAAATGCCTGATTAAATACAAATTGCCACCCGTAAATGTAGCGGAAATCATCTTTTAAAAGAGCTAAATTAAAAGCTGTTTAATTACGATTCGCGCTTATTCCTAACAACAATTATTTATTGTGAGTTGATGTCAATAGAAAGAAGACAACTAAAAGCAGATTGAGAAATCAATAGCCCGATGAAACTGTGAAACAAGGTTACTGAGCCTCCTGGCTATTGATCACGCAATATGAAGCTTACCTGTAACCGTGTTTTGACAGTGCCGTCCTACTCACCCTTATCATTTAACGCACTTGACTGATTACGAAAACAATGTAGAAAGAAACACGAAATGTACAGCGGGAATAAAGCGAAGCCCGTTTTTCGTGTTAAGAGGGAAATGTCGTGTTCTTATCTGGCGGGCAACTTCATCAAAGACCGCTTCGCGAAAAATCGTAGCTCTGAGACGAAGGAAATTACACGTATTATCTCGTTTTTAATGCCACAAAAATATTACTGCTAATAATGTATTATTAACAGCTTCAACCTTCCCCTTGTTATTTACGGAAACATATAATTCAAATGTTTGTTAGGTACTTACTTTTTTCATAAAAGACATAACATTTGTAGGCAACATAGCGGCGTATTGTCCAAAACTTGCTTACGGTGAACGAACTGTTGATTTACGGAGGGGTGAACCTCTTTTCACATTTTAGTGTTTTTTTCTTTGTCCTCTGCATCTTCATATTTCATCTGCAACAACAAATAAAGAGATGTACATGCTATATTGTGGTTTTCGTGTTTAAGTTTTATGCGAGATGAAGTGGAACGATACAGAACGATTATTAGTTAATAACCTAGTAAAATTCTGATGCTGTTACAGTTTTAGTCTTTAAATTAGTTTGTTTAAGGTTTTTCATTAACGAAAAATGAAGTGAAATAATGTCAAGACGCGTTAATATAAGATTAACAAAGACCTGCATAATTTCGTATTGCATACTTCCCGAGAACTCACAAGGCAACTTGTACATGTACACCTAGCTTAATGCATTAATTCCTTTACCACGGACATGTTTGTTTTGCACAATGTTAGGGGCAGGAGGTTTGTTCCCAGTACTCGCATCTTCCTTTGTGTGTAATCACTGATTCAAGACCCATTTTTTTAACAACTCGTTTCGAATAAGAAGCTATATTCACGTTTATTCTACGCAAAAAGGCTTAGAACTTTAGTTTTCAACAATCGATGCATTTTTCCGCCACTTTTAGACTCAAAATCTACATATTAAAAAGTTAAAAACAAGTATAATTTACAGAATGAATGTACGTAAATTTAAAGTATGTTTATATTTTTACTTAAATCTATTTCGTACATAGTCGAGTTGTTACCCACTTTGGGTAAAATTACTAACGATTGCCCGCTTGAAAAGCAATTCATTATTATCGGTAAAATTTTTATATTTTCTAGTTCCCGACTATAAGCAAGCTAAGAAAGCAATGTAATAGTCACTTTGACAAATTCTTACTTTCATGCTTTCCCGAAGTTTCACAGCTTGTAGAATACGAAGATAGCGGTCACCCGTAGACTGCACTAATTATTGTGAAATTTTAGTTATACTTTAAAATTATTAATAGAGCTATTAAAATACTGACCCAAGTTTGTCTGTTCATACCCATACCCAAAAAATTGATAACGTCATTTAAAAATTTTGCTGATTGAAATAGTTGAAATAGAATGACATTTACATTTATTTGAATAAAATATACATCGATTAAACTTTATTTATTCAAGGCCTCTGGGAAGTTGAAGACATTAATAATAATGGTGATAAAAATGATGATAACAAAATAGCCCAGTATTTGGTAAAGTAAAAAAGTTGTAAAAGCTGTTAGCACGGCACAATAAAATTTGTGTTTTACAAACATTTTTTTTTTAAGTGAATGTTATAAAATGAGAAAATTTCATACAGTATGGTCCAAAACTTTTCACATAAAGAGAGAGACGGCTAGTCCTAGTTCTTTCCAGTAAACTGTCTGTCATTTTCTATCATTCTATATATAAATAAAATTGAAACTTTATCGATTCGATAGTTCAAGCTTAATATTGTTAAGATTTTATTTTAAAAATCGGTATCACTATGTTAGCTACAACAATGTAAACTCCTCTCGACATAAGTAAGATATGGTCTTCCTTCAGGCTCTGTCTTGAGTCCCATCTTGTTTCTAATGTTCATCACGTTCACCAATGATTTGCCTAATACATAATTCTTCCATAACGAATTTTGTTTGCAGATGACACGACGTTATTTAAGTCCAGAATGATGTAGGAATGAAAATAAGACTCAATCAAACTAATTCTATTATTATTATTATTATCCCTTCATCTGAAAAGTTTCGGATCATACGGTGTAACCCACGTGTAAATTTGTATAAGCTATCAGCAGCGTATACCTATAATACACCTACCCTAAATTCTTGCAAAATAATGTAGCATATTGTATTTCAAATGGAAAGCTTTTAATTCAGACAAGATGCCGAATACCCGATGATTTTATACACAAAATCTTTACCACCGGTAAAATTTCAACATTGAACTGTTTTCTAAAATAATATGCAGGTGTTGAACTGAAAGGTGTTGAAGTGTTAGTATTACATTAAATATTTCGCCCCAAGTTATGAATACTAAAATCTTTTAAATATTACATAATGCCAGCAATTTCTGGAAACGAAATTATTTATTCAAAATTATAGCTTTTCACTGTTGCTTTTAAATAAAATACAATGGAGAATTAAACTTAATAGGTAAATTGTTTTTGGAATTAAAAAAGCATTATTCAGATTTAAAAAATAATAATCTTTTGCGGCTTTAGTTTGCACAAAGTGCTAATAGTAATAACGTTGATTTAATATACAACTTTAAAAAATTACGATACTCTTGTGTTGACGCTAAATTAAATGTAAAAAGACAAAGCTTCTTTAGAAACGAAGCAGGATTCCTTTTACGGTATTTTCATTCTAATCCATTGAGAGGAACGTATAGGTTTAAATAGAGGTCACCGTAGGAAACGAGGATTATTTAGTGAACAAGTCGAGTCCAGCGGGTGTCGAGAAAATCCAGACAAGTTGCGCCGGGGTTATTTTTGTACATAATCGTTGTGTAATTATTCGTGTGATTTTGAGTTACTAAGAAAAAAATTGTTGAGTTTAACCCACGCCGATTTTATTCACCAATTAACGTAACAATATTCGAAATCATCTATTTTTGGTTTATACTACACTTAAATACATTTTACCAAAATGGCATCTCAAAGTAGAAGAAATAATTTCTACAGATCCCAAGAAGATTTTCTATAAGCTACTTCGAGTATGAAAACAACTTTGCTTCAAGACAAACATTAATTTGTCGGCGATATATTAATAAAAAGACAAAACATATTACTAATATCTAACAAACATACATAACGTACATTTTACAACCGATTTTGATAGACAACTATATTACGATTACAAGGATACTTGTTTAGTTATTTATTTCATTTTCAGTTGATAAAAAAATATCTAAATAAGTGTTGTATATTATTATAATCACAATTTAACGGCCTATCAAAATTCGTCAAAAAATATACTTTTGCTATTTAAAATATATTATCCCCTTCAAACTAACAATAATGGCGTTTACAAAATTTTAATACATCATCCCGTTCCTAGGATATTAGGCGACGCAATTTTAAATGGAAGACCATGTATACACAATTTGCACAATTTATTAAAAAGTATATCACCATTCGCATTTTATACGAATCACCCGGAACAGTTTCAAACTTTCACTGTCATTATATTCATTGCTAGTAAAATCTTAATTACCGAAATCAAATTATGACGACCACCAACGCACTGACTTGACACATGCAATTAGGGAAGTTTGACACATTTTTTTTGATGAAAGTTTGAGAAAATTGGCGACACACTGATTTATTACAAAACAACCAACGGCCTAATTTTTGCTTTTTAATACTTATGCAATAATCCGCAGATATTATTGTCAGTCAGTGCTGTAAACACAGAAGATGATGTCAGCCTGAATTTTATCTATTTTTTAGCACATACCGCTTATGGGTGCATTGCGGGCAAGCCTACATATTAAACGGCATCAATTTTGCAGTTGTTTATATCGGCTGATTTTTTATTTCTTGATTGATACATATAAGTGTCAAGGCTAACTAGAGCAGAAATTTAAAAAATCACACGATATAAACAACTTCATTTTTATTTTTAAAATATTGTAAGAAAAACGTACTGTTGGGCAGAAATCTATCGCTCAGAAATAATAGGAGTAAAAATTATAGTAAAGACCGAATTCATTGGTGCGGTATTGTCTCACCTGCCTCATAGGACAAGCCATCCCTGCTTTGAAGTGAATTTTTCATAGAGTTTAGCTAGCGCATTTATGCTTCAACAAAATGGGCAATATTTTCAGCATTTACTGTAATTTCCCTCGTAACTTCAACAAAGTGTGCGCCATTTTGCTTCTGCATTCGTCATTTTCTGACATTTATTAGTACGGTTTAATTATCGACATCCTAGATCTTTTCCACTGATGAATCTATTACAATTATGTTGCTCGCCTGATGCGGTTATAAATAAAAACATATTTTGGGTTAGGTCAACAATATATCAACATTTTATGACCAGGCACCTAGTACATTTCATCAGTTTAATAGCCCTTTTATTAGATGTTTGAGACTGTGTAATTGTTTAATACCGTATGATGTCGACAAATTTTACAGTAATTTTAATAATGTAAAATTGAAGTAAAACTGACGGCTAATTTAATATGGTTTAAGGTGTATATGTTACAGTGAAAGTGTTCATTCCGTTAACGTATATTTTGAAATTGTTTTCTTTTTATTTTGTATTACATTTTTTGGTGTTTTGAATTGTTTTTCTTTTTATGTGTTTTATATTTTGTTCTTTTTTTATTTTTTATTTTTTTCGACATGTTAACCCTTTCTTTTATTAATTTATTATCATCTGCAAACTTTAAATTAAAAAAAAACTAGGTAAATGTGGGAGTAATAACTGGAAGTTTTCTCATTTGGACTATTTTATCTGTACAGGTCTAGAGAATGACATAGAAAGTTTAACTTTGTATGTTATTTCTATTTCTCCACGACCATTAATGAATATACTGTTCAGCACTTAACTCACTGCTAATAAAAATGTCATTTGTACTACTTTTTCTTTGAGCTCCTTAATTGTGATATTTATTTCCTTTTATTGAAGCTTGGACTGACAGACTGCAGTAAATGCATACACCGTCTAGTGAATGTATACTTTGTGCGCAGTGAATACTTGAATGTACGCTTTGACTGTAACATTTATATGATAATTATACTTGTTTTGTATTTTCTTTTCAATTTTTTATTTTGTTAGGTTAGAGATATTTTTTATATTTGTAATTATTAATGTTCACGTCTTAAATTTCCACCATTGGCGATTGTAGTTCGTTGAAAATAAATCAATATTATTATTATTATTATTATTATCGACATATATTTTCCCTCTGTTCAGCTTCACAAAAACAATGAGAGTCAACGTAAAAGTGCTCCAAAAATCATTCAAGAAATCGCAAAGTGTGAGGATCTGTTGAAATATTCATATAACGTGTTGGACTCGTAGCTCAATTCAATCCAATCAACTCCGCTATTAATTAATCTACTGTTTTCGACGATTTTGAATTTGTGGAAGATTTTATC